TGGAGATAGATACTTTAAAGCTGATATGGGCTTTTCTGTATTTCTGTTTCTATTCCTTGATATTTCTTGGATTTATTTTATTACATGCCTTTGTCCCAACTGCATATGTCCCTGATCTTCCTGTCCTACCCCTTGCACTTCCCTCTCAGTTTTCATTCAACATTTTCTCACCTGTGATTGCTGGTGGGTATCTTGAAAGGGTGCCCTCCCAACACTTTCCTCAGCAGTTGCTGGTTCTTGCAATGTCCTTGATACCACCTCTGGCCTTCGATTGATGCAGATGGTGACAGCTGTCTCTGAACCCAGATTACCTCTGTGTTGCTTTGCAATCTGGCTCAAGGAAGCTTGGGTGCCCAAGGTGGGGATGACATTTGGCATCACCTGTACTGGAAACTCTATTAATAATCTTGCTAGCAGCATGACCTCTAGTCAGTTTCTTAATCCTTCCTGTTTTATTTTTCTAGTCTATTTGTGAAATGGGGGAAAAATAGCACTGACCTCACAGGGATGATTTGAAGATTTTTCACCTTTTGCTTCTGTTTGTGAACTAGAACAGTGGCTCACTCGTGGTAATGAAATAAATCAGACCTGCACATGCAAACATCTTACTGTCTCCTTAGTATGAGAACTTGAAAGAGAAAATGAAATCTAAAGGGTACAACAGATAAGATACTGGGCAAAGAGAATTAACTTATTCAAAAGGAAGGAGTTACTGAGTTGAGGAGTAAGACAGGAGAGAGTGGGGGAAAGATATTTATCTATGTATGTAAGCAGGATGGTTTGAATGATTGTACTGTGCATTTCTGTTGGTCTATGGAAAGGAGCAGATAATACAAAAGTTGTTTTGTCCCCATTTTTCTTTTTTTCATAATTTTACTGAGAAACAAATAGTAACGAGACAGTTTCAAAACAAATTGGTATGATAGTTTCAATAATTAACACATTGCATACATGCTTCCTAGTGGTTAATTGCTGTACAAGATGCGGACATGATATAGTATTTACAAAAACCATTAGAACAAATCCCTCTATTCATTAAGAGAATGTAACTATATATCTATCCTAACCACTTTGAATACACAGATACAAAATGGATATTCATCTGTAT